CCAGCACACCAACCCTAAACCCTAAACCCTAAACCCTAAACCGCCTTAAGGGCTGAACAGCCGGCTTTCGAATCCAGAGTTGGCCTCTGCACGCTGCATCGCTTCGGCGTAAGCACTCCTGGCGGTTGACAGATGCCTGAATGATCACCCATACTGTCCCCCTATAATCCTTATACACTATACAGTGGTGGTGGTGGTGGTGGTGGTGGTGGTGGTGGTGGTGGTGGTGGTGGTGGCGGCGGTGGTGGTGGCGGTGGTGGTTTTGCAGTTTTGGCGGGGCTCGTCTCAAAACCTGGCCCTCTAGCCCAAGCAAAAGAATGCATCACGATGTCGAAGTATGGTTTAGTGGTAATGCACAAGTGTGTCGAAGATGGTCGGTCTTCAGGTTGAGTTCATGGATTTAGGGTTTTCTGTATAAGGTCGGCCTCAAGAAATTCTGCGCATCGTGGCACGGACCAGGCGGTCTCAAGCTTTTAACACTGCCGCTCTCAAAACCGTAAACTAGAAGCAAAATATCCTCAAAGCTACAACCCAAACCCCCAAAAGCAGACCCTCAAACCCGACATCCTAAACCCCTACACCCTCGAACAAGCCCATGCAGTCAAAACATCCTGGCAACCCGACTTGGAGGCTCATCGGCAGTTTCAAACACGGTTTAGGGTTTAGGGTTTAGGGTTTAGGGTTTAGGGAGTTCTAAGCATCTGCATTGGGGATTTAACCACGAACTTGCCCTACTTGGGCCTAAGTCCCCTCCCATCATCCTTTCAGGAGACTCCAAACCCACGACACCCTGACTGAACTCGAAGCAATCAGCCCCCATGCCCGACTGGTGCTCGGTGGCCTCAGTTCTTCGTGCTGCTTCTCAAGTCTTCGAACCTCTGCCTGCGTTGCAGCGGTCGCTTCTATCGGCGGCAGATTATGAGGTTTCGGGTTAGTCCCTAAACCCTAAACCCTAGACCCTAAGTTAGGGGCTTTCAATTCTTAAAGCACGGGCCCGAAACCTTGAACGCAAACCCAGTGGCATATCAGACAACTCTCTGATCAGGCCCCTTGTAACTAGAGATCGGCATACTCCATAACGATACATAGATACTGAGTATGAATGTCCGAAACACTTTTTGCATCTAGGCCTATTTGCGACTGCCGGGTACCCCTGAAGCAAGGAAATTGAGAAACCCTGAAACCTCGTCTATCTTTCCGTCAAACCCAGAGACTCCAATACTCCTTAATTATTATGATTTAAGGTATATTCCTTAACTAAGGGATATTGGAGTCTCTGGGAAGGAGGCTCAAATCGCCATGTGACTCGGAAGACCGACCTCCTACTCACCCACAGCCTCTGAAAGCTCCGATAATTCGACAAGAAATGTGGGTTTCCGAAAATAGGGGACCCTAATATAGTACCCTAAATAATAGGATCCTTATTATAAGGACCCCCAAAATAAGGTACCCCTACTTTTTGGAAACTCCCAAATCAAAAATCCACGACCACCCGCGGGGATCTGCCGAATCTCTGCTCCTAAAGGAGCGTTCTCATTGCTGCTCCTAGGACAATAAGCTAATTACCCACACCATTCTTGCGGTGTTCATTGCAAGAATAGTAAAAGATTTCCCCAAAAAATCCTTATTCAAATTGTTAAGATTTAAGCTGGTCGCCCTGCTGCTTAAAAAAATGGCTCAATTGCCAATGCTCCTCAAAAAACACTACCGCACGGGCCCGCAGGCACCGCTCGAACCCGACCGGCGAGCTGGGTCTAGGGTGGGCAACTAAATTAACGTTTTTAAGCCTTCACCTGTTGGCATAACGGCTCCGATCGGCGAGACTGACATGTCATGCACGACTTCAACTGAGCTGTCGATGTGTGGGGGGGAAGTGTGTGGTGGGGGGGGTGCTTCTATACTACCTGTACTGTTGCTATCTGCACTTATTGATAAGCCCTACCTATCCTTTCCGATCTCTTGACGATGGGCACAACTTCTGTCGCATGTAAAGCTTGTCCGTAAAAGCGCCAGCTATTACATCAGCAGGACCCCCAGTCGAAAATCTTGAACATTAAACCAAGGTTCCCCTTTCCGAACCCCGAAACACGAAACTCCAAAACGTATATCAACACCATATAACACTGGAACTTATGTAGACTATAACAACTGCAGAAGACAACACACGCAAAAACGCATACATCACGCGAAAAAACATGCTTAAGTTGCATAGACCCCGCAACTCCGTGGAAGTAACCCATATTGTAAACAACCCCTACCCACTCTAAACCCCTAAACCCCTATACCCTAAATAAACCCTAAACCCTAAACCCCAACCCCTTTTTGCATCAGGACTTGCGCAATCGCCTGAAACCCTAACCCCTAAACCCCTAAACCCTAAACCCTAAACCCGTAATCCTAAACCCTAAACCCTAACCCCTGAACCCCTAAACCCTAACCCACTTTTTTAAAACTGGGACCCGCGGCCTTCAGAGACGTCACCTCCTCGCGCGAAGCCGAGGCCTGGAGCTTTCCTTGCAATGCCTCGTCGGGCGTGGGAGTCTGAAGCTACAGCAGGGTTCCTTCAAGGGGCTTCTTTCAGGGATCCTTGCAGGGATCCTTTAAGGGCTCCTTTTTGGGGTTTGGGGTTGAGGGTTTAGGGTGAATCGTGTAAGGGGGGGGTAGAATATAAGGTGTTGGGTCTAGGACTGGGGTTGAGGGGCTATCTGGATCACACTACGCGTCCCTGCAAGGGGGCTACCAGGGTACTTTTCGGGCTCTATGCCGGTTCTGTGCAGCAAGGGTTTCGGGTTTCTGCTAGGGCTCTGTAAATGGTTCGACACGGTTCCATGCAACGGTTCCATGCAACAGTGTCTGTCAGGCTTTACAAACGTTTCGCCCCAAAACCGCATTAAAGTAAGCAGCGCAACTACATTAGAGTAGCCCGATAGTACCCTTCTAGTGCCTCTATAATCCCGTTACAGGTCACTTTGCGGGGCTGGGCCTCGATCCGCCCCTGCAGCTCCCGGATCGTCAACTGTTCCGCTGACATCTCCTGGCAGGTTGGGGTTGAGGGTTTAGGGTTTAGGGTTTAGGGTTTAGGGTTTAGGGGTTTAGGGTTTAGGGTTTAGGGTTTAGGGGTTTAGGGTTTAGGGTTTAGGGTTTAGGGTAAGCTTCGAGGCCCAGAATACAGCGACCTTTGATGCTTAGAGAATATGGTTTAGGTTCAGGGTTTAGGGCCGGCGGATATAGTATAGTTACCTTGAACTCATAGAACAGTGTTTAGGGTTTGGGGTTTTTAAGGTTCCGGGGATACGGGATATGGTTGCCTTGATATTAGAATAGGGTTTGGGGGGTATGCTTACCATGTTTAACCCCTTCGCCTCCTCTTCCTGTGTAGCCAAGAGTGCAGCCGCATCCACGACGCGGCGGCTCTGTGCGTAGGACTTGCGGTTCGTGGAAATGCTGCAGATCACGGCCTAGGCGTCTCGCGTTGGTCTTTAGGGTTTTCGGCCTTGTTTCGGTTCAGGGACTGGGCTTTGTTCGCTCAAGTCTCATGGGATTTCAAAACTAACGGCTTTGGATCCCTTTTTAAGGGGCCCTACAAAAGGGACCCTAATTTAGAGAACTACCCAGATAGAACCCAAAAGAAGTACGTTCATGGAAACCCCCTATAGAGACCCCGCGGATGCAGCGCTTGAGGATTTAGGGTTTAGGGCTCATGGGTTTAATGATTAATGCCGACAAGCTTCCTTCGAGGCAGACAGGGTGAAATTTAGGGTACTAAAGAAGCGTTATCGCTTGTAGAGTTGTATAAGGGTTTTTGCAGGGTTCTATGTTGAGGTGCCGGGGAGGGCGGAGGACCATCCTGAGCAATTTCTGGAGCAGCTACCCTTGAACCCTTGAGCCTCTCTAAGACTCTGCGACCCGAAACTCTAGAGCATTTGGCTGCCGTGAGCCTCCCTAACCCCCCCTGGTCTGCATTTTTTCGCTGCCGTCGGACACAGCAGCGTCAAGAGTGGGCAGGGCATCCAGCCAGCGCCGCAACTGGAAAACTGCTTTGGCCCAGAAGCTGCAAATTTGACTAAGCAACCACAAGGGAGCTTCTTAATCCCAGCCATTCGCCTCCGAAGTAAGCGATCTCGAAAACTTTCAGCATCTGCGCTCTGGAGGTTGCAAAACAATACGAAGGCTACTTTCTACGCGGCTCAAGGTCCTCATTTGCAGTGAGCTTCCGGAGACGCCCTCCGGTTTTCGTATCGCATTCCTTGCGGCATCGCGACTTTGGGGGCAAACGTCAGGGTATTCGGACTACTTGGCGTACTCCAGTCCGGGTGTAAGGGTCAGAAGTAAAAACACATCCGGGGATCAAGGGACTCAAGTGTGGTGGAATGGCCCTAATGAATGGAGGCCTACAGAAGTGGACTGCGGCAAACATGGCGATGACATCTCATGGTAGCCCATCACGAGAAAGGTCATTGAGTTTAGGGTCGTTAGGCTTTAAACTCAGCACGATCGGACGCTTTCGTGGAGGCTGTAGCGTCACGGGTGGAAGACCTCTATTCCGGGTCCTACTATTCAGGGTCATAAGTTCGTTCGGACCTTGCCATCATGAAAGTTCCGACGTCCCAAACCCTAAACCCTTCTTTGATAGACAAATATGTGACCCTGACATAGGCAAATAGAAGACCCTTACTACACGGACGAGGGACCCTAGCTTTCGTTCAAACACCCCTAATCATAAGTATCCGGAAAAGGTATGATGCGACCTCCTCCCTCAACCTCAACCGAGCCAAAATCCGAACCCCCAAAACCAGCCCCCCTTCGACTGCTTCGGCCGGAGGGCCCAAATCTCCACGCCGAGGCCCCGCGGCGGGGGGGCGCTGAGGATCCTCGGTGCGCAGGGACCCTCAAACTTAAAGAAGCTTGGGGCTCGGGGCTTTGCAGGGTTTCGGGGCTCGGGGCTTTGGAGGGTTTCGGGTTTCGGGTCTAGGGTTTAGGGGTTTAGGGTTTAGGGTTTCGGGTTTCGGGTCTAGGGTTTCGGGTTCCGGGTTTAGGGTTTAGGGGTTTAGGGTTTAGGGTTTAGGGGTTTAGGGTTTAGGGTTTAAGGACCTTATGTGTAGGGGGCATAGGGCTTAGGGTTCAGGGGTTTGGGTTGAGGCGTTTTCAACACATCACAACTGGGACAAGCCTGTCAAGCTTAGCCTTTTTGTCGAAGCACACTGGCTATGGCACATTAGCCGGACACCAAGCAGATTCTCTTGCCATCAAAACCGCATCACCGCAGAAGCTCACATGGCAAGGCTCCACCGCAATCATCACACATCTCACGTGCACTCCTCAAGGACCCCCGGCTCGAGCAAACTGTCCCTGATTCGTCTCAGACTTCGGTCGCCACGAGCAGACATCTAGGGCTGTGAACCACCCTTCAGCAGTTGAGGCGTTTTAGTTTTTGGAGTTCGGTGGCTTCGGCTTGAGAAGGACAAACATGCAACGGTGTTGGCATGGTGAGAATGCTGCAAAGCAGCGAGGTCTATGCCGCGGCAGCAGGAGAAATCGTAGCTGTAAGCTTTAGAACCAAAAGGTATGTGACGAGCAATAGCTTTTGGAACAGTAAGCTTCCAGGGTCACTGCAAAGTTCACAAACATCGTCACCACCAGCATCAACATCATCACCATCATCTTCACCCTGAGTATCATATGTGAGCGATACCGAAGACCACACAACCAGAACTCTAGCTTAGCAACGTCTTGGCTTCTAGAGGCAAGATCGTGGAGCTTCGTACAAATTTCTAGATGCCGCGGCTTCCCAGCACTCTGGTTGAATGGAAAGCAATACAAAACTTGTACGCTGGAGAGCCGCGCCTTCCTTCATTTCTGGGATTTATGTACAGTGCTGCAAGCCCTGTAATACAGCCTGGGGCCCAGGGTTTCTTGTAGCTCTGAATTCTTGAACATGCCCCATGTGGTGAGAATCCCTGTTGTGGGTTTATGATCGCGAACCCAACCCTAAACCCTCCTCTCTCTCTCGCGCGCACTCTGAAACCCTAAACCCTAAACCCCTAAACCCCTAAACCCTAAACATATCAATCCATCGGGCGTCTGGAAGAAGGAGGGCACAGTCTTTCGGACGCAGCTAGGGTCTTCCTCGGCTTTCGATCAGTCTACTATAGGGTTTAGGGTTTAGGGCTTAGGGTTTAGGGTTTAGGGCTTTATGGGATCTTGCTCTAAACTACGGCCCTGCTGAAGGTCTGGTTTACAAAACACTCATACCACTGAGGCAACACAACAGTGAACCCGAGTAGTACCCACGCTTTCTCATTACATGTGGATCTGTCATTCGTACCGGAGCTTCTCCTACTAGTACATAGTCTTCATTGAACCCCGATGCCAGGAAAAGTGGAACCGTTGCGGACCTTAAGGGCAAGGAGGCGAGCGCTGTCGAAGGATGCAAAGATGCTTGGAACTCCAAGGTTGAGTGCAATTTTAGGGTTTAGGGTTTAGGGTATAGGGTTACCGATAGGCAACCGGTCAGGTTTTGGGATGACTGCAAGAAGTTTAGGGATGGAAACTGCGCAATCTACGTCAAATCAAATTCGAAGGCGCCAACCTCATGAGCTCCGTGAACGGAATAAGTACGGTCGCTACGGGTCGTCATAGGGTGTTTCAGGTACTCTTCAAAGTCTGCATATAACTTAAACAGCTGGTAGATAACCCGTTAAAACGGGTTCCCTGCTGGGGCTACATTCAAAATGCTCATTGTTGATCCTGATAGGATTTTATGAAAACAAAAACGTTAAGCTTGTAGCCGACAAGAACCCAGTTTATTCAACCCTCTAACCTAAACCCTAAACCCTAAACCCCTAAACCCTAAGCCCTAAACCCCTACCCCCCTAAACCCTCTAGGCCGAGGTTCAATCTTGATCCCTGGAGCTGCCAGTCCCAGGGTGGCAAAGCACATCGCCATGCGGTGGTCCTCACTTTCGGCTTGTTGGGGTTTGGGCCTTTTGGTGGTTTTTAAAGGTTTAGAGGGCTTTTTGTTGGTTTTTAAAGGTTTTGAGGCAGGGTTTTAAAAGTTTAGGGGCAGGGTTTGGGCTTTTTGTGGTTTTGAAAAGTTTCGGGAGGGTTTGGGGGCAGGGTTTGGGCTTCTTGTGGTTTTTAACAGGATTTGGGCTTCTTGTGGTTTTTAAAAGTTGAGGGGCAGGGTTTGGGCTTTTTGTGGTTTTTAAAGGTTTAGGGGCAGGGTTTGGGCTTCTTGTGGTTTTTAAAAGTTTAGGGGCAGGGTTTGGGCTTTCTGTGGTTTTTGAAGGTTTAGGGTCAGGGTTTGGGCTTCTTGTGGTTTTTAAAAGTTTAAGGGCAGGGTTTGGGCTTGTGGTTTTTAAGGTTTAAGGGCTTACACTCGACCACCGCCAGACTAAGTTTCTTCTTGGAGTTTATAACTTTTCCCAAGGTTCGGGGTGTAGTATAGGGCCTTCATAATTAGAATTGGGTTTTGGGGCCCAGTATACTATAGTTATAATAAGGAACCTCCAAAATAGTCTTGGTAATTATTTAGGCCCCTCGAGTGCCTTTTATGCAGAGTTGCGTAGTTTTTTGGGGGTCTTCGGGCTTCGGACTTGCAGAGCTTAGGGCGTGAGGCTACCGAGTATCAGGTCTCGGGCTTGCGAGGGCTTTGGGGGTTCGGGTGGAGGGATTTTCTGTTTAGGGTTTTTTCTTGCCGGGTTTAGGGTTTAGGGTGGAGGGATGAGGGTTTAGGGTGGAGGGATTTGGGGCATGTGCGCTGCGAGTAAGCCTACCCTGCAAACAATATGGTTGAGAAGCCCCGGCGTTTACGCTGCAATGAAACGGACAATTTCAAAATGATTCTTATGGAAGACTCAGCAGGGTGCACCATCTAAACTTTTTTGCTCCTCAACCTTTGACCGGAGGCTGGATGTTAGGCAGCCAAGACTGAACAAAACACAAAAACGTGTTCCGGATTGCATGCGTCAGCCTGCACCCAAAGCCTGAAATTACACGGCCTATTTCTACTTCCCGGTCCGGTTTACAGGTCAAGAGAGCGGCTACCAGAAGCCGTGCCACAAACCGAACACGGACCCGACCTCGTTGAGGTATCGGAAGTACAGTTCCGTAGCCGGGATCTCAAAGTGGGGAACCGAATTCAGAGTAGAACAACACCACCAACTGCAGCTTTGTGTCGTGGTAGGTGTGGATGGAGGCATCGCCTTCGACGTAACCAGGGAGTAGGGTCTAGGGTTTAGGGTTTGGGGAGCTGTTCTTGCAACATCTCGTAAGTTCTTGGAACTGCTCCACACTTGGGGCTTGATGGGAGGAGGACGCATAAAGGGAAGTCTTTACTCAAATCAGCCTGCAATCAACACTGCTTCTTGCTTGAAGTGATGGGGCGTGTCAGGGCTGCGAAACCACAAGAAGCACTTTGGACAAGGTACTTCTAGGTACTATTCATTGGGGTTCGGGG